GCGAGTGTGGTTTGTTGTTATCCCACCAACGCGCTGAACCTTACTGTCGCTGCATCATGGACCATCTTGACGAGACTTGCCGGCCCCCTAAGGCCCGTCTTCGCCAACAGCTGACGCAATTCAAGCTCGACAACCACGTCCTGTACCGTCATATCTACAACCCTGATGGTCAACGCTGGGTGCCCGTTCTACCTCGCTCTCTTCGGGCTCAAGTCCTCAAGACATATCACGACGACATGTCTGCTGGACACATGGGCTTCCAGAAAATGCACAACCGCATAAGATGTCAATACTACTGTCCGGGCTTGTCCACCTGTGCCACGAAGTATGCTGCCTCATACGCCCTTTGTCAGCGTCGCAAGCTACCTACATCAACTCGATGTGGATAATTACAACCGCTCCCGTGTCCCCTGCAACCATTTGAGGTAGTTGGCGTTGACCTGTATGGTCTGCTTCCTATAACTGTCATGGGCAAATGATGGATAGTTACAGCTGTCGACCACCTAACCCGATACGCCGAAACAGCTCCCGTGCCTTCTGCATCCGCTTCGAAAGTGGCTGACTTCATCCTTCGAGCAATAATCCTTCGTCACGGAGCTCCTCGTGTCATCCTGAGCGACTGTGAAAGAGTATTTTTTTCAGAACTCGTCGAAGAAGTGCTCAAGGCATCCGGCGCTACACACAAAACAAGCTCCAGTTACCATCCTTAAACGAACAGCCTGACTGAGCACTTTCATCGCACACTGTCAGATATGATAGCCATGTATATCAACCGGACCATAGAAACTGGGACACCATTTTGCCATTTGTCACTTTTGCCTATAATACCTCTGTACAGCGCACAATCGGTTACTCGCCGTTCTACCTCGTCCACGGTCTCTTCCCTGTTTTTTTTCTCTATGTTTCGTTATTCTCTGCGCCTGTTAAACCACGTTCATCCTCAAGTGAAGAATACGTGTCTCGTCTACTTCATTGCCCCCAGCTGGCTCGCGTCAACACTGAAGCCAAGCAACAGGATCGCAAGTTTGAATATGATGCCTCTCATCGTGCCGTGTCCTTCAGCCCTGGTGACGAAGTCCTCCTTCTTACACCCATTCGCACTCCTGGCCTGTGCGAGAAGTTTCAACTACTTTTCATTGGCCCATACACTGTCTTGGAGCAAACGTCTCCTGTAAATTATCGCGTGGCACCCGTTCTTCTTCCAATGAACTACCGCTGCCAGGCAGCAGAAATAGTCCGCATATCTTGCATGAAGGCTTTCACACGGCGGTCATCTTCGCTTTAAACTGCGGCCGAGAACTGCGGTCAGGATGGCCGTTTTCACGTGGGGGAGAAGTTAGTGTAGGCATTCATTAAGCACATCTACTTTCTTCACACATGTTCATCATCAAGAGTGGTCGTCATCTTCATCTGTTGTCGGGACTTGGCTTGCCTGAGTTCTGTGCCTTGGCTGTGGTCGCTTGTTGTGTCGTGTCTTCTGGGCCTAGTAAAGGTTGCCTTCACTGTTGCATCGCAGTATACGTATCTATATATATGAACACTCAAATAAAAAAAGCCCACCATGCTCGGCGCCGAGCTCTGTTGTGATGTGCCAACGCAAGCTTCTCTCATGTGTACTCTGCCCCATGGATGGATGCCTGTGCGCGCGCGCTTATCCTTTGGTGGGGGAATTGTGTGCCTTCAGCTTTCACTGAAACGAAAGCGTTAGTTGCCGGCCCCACAAAGGTCAATTTGGTCTCTGCACAGGTCCCTTTTGCGAAAATAGGCGCGCTTTTCATACACAGCAAGGCATAACAACAGGGACACTTGTTAGTTTGTACTCATTTGTACCTCTGATTACGTATCGTGCATCGTTTTTGTTTAAACAGTGCACTACGTGTCGAGCAGTAAATGTTGTTAGCTCGCTGTCATCGTGTATCGTTTTCGTGCGTCATTTGTGTGTGAGCAGCGCGCTGCGCGCTTTGATCTGCTTGCCATTCTCAGCGTTACACTCAAAATTGTTGCCATTGCATCTATTGCTTCGCCCTTGCAGCGAAACTAACTTTTTTATTTTTTACGTATTTACTGCCTTTAACCTACCACGGTATAGTGCGCAGCGATTGCGGCAAGCAGTAGTTCATTTTACAATCCCCATGAGCTTGGCTGCGCACGCGCCTTCAAAACTAAGTCGTTCTATGCCATCTATGATAGCATCTGCCGCAGTTTGGTCTGCAGAGTTTGCAGAAAGCAGCGTTGCTTTGACCGGTTGAGTGCGCACTTTCGGGGTTCTGTCAGTTACGTCGTTGCCATACATGATCGTGTCAAGAGCGATCGCAGTTTTGTCCACAGCGGTTGTGGCAACGACAATCACATGCACTGAAGAAGACAGTGCGTTCGCCGGTTGGATGCGCTTTTCCGAAGCTTCGAGTACGCTGCTCTCGGCCTTCGTTCGACGGTTTCCGTACTAAAGTTAGTATCAGCTGCGACGGTTAAGAAATGTGTTCAGTACATTTGAATTGAGGCACAATGAACATAGTAAAATTTGGCTGGGGAATTTCAAGAATTCGTATCTGCCGCAGTTTCACATCACTGAGATTGTACTGTATGTTTGCATGAAGGCCTATTAAACTCATTTATAATAAAGTGAGGAAGGTTCGAAAAGCCTGGAGCGGATTGAGCTGCTTTTTTTGTCAATGCGGCCAGATCACGCACAGAAATTTCGATTTCCGGGAGATTTTCATGACAACCATACAACCGGCAAAAATTGTCAAAATCCGGGAGTCTCCCAGCCACCAATCTGGGAGACTTGGCAGGTATGAGTATCCAATAGAAATGCAAGCCCTCACATAAAAGCTCTAAAGCTTGGCAAGTAACTTCTACAGCAACTACACATTATCACGAAGTCCTTCAAATTGCCTCACTGGTGTCATCAATGTTGTTGGCACCATCCTGGTGGCACTAGTGTGGACAAAGAAAGCCATAATGTTAGCGAGAGCTGGCAAGTTTGTGGAGGTTGAAATAGGTGTTACATCCACAGCCATCACTGTACCTCCCAAAAAGGAAGTTCAACAGTTCTTATCTTGATACCAAGTAGTTCTCAAGTGTCTCAGAGAGCTGAGTTTTCTCCTAAGGCGGACATCAGTGTCACTCGAAATAGGTCAAACGCATTCACTGCCGCCTGCTAACTGAGGCGAGTTAGAGACCCCTGGTGTAAATAAGCGACAATAGTAAAAATAAAACTCCCCTCATCTTAAATATCTCTCACGGTGAAAAATACCATCGATACGTTGCTGATGAGTGTAAGCCAAGACGAAACGCAAACATATCAGTAGTAAAAAAAAAAAACGATGTGCTCAAGATGTTCATTCAGATTGAAGCCGAACTAAAGATGAGTGGGAAATCGGTCCTTATGAAACAGACATTTCGTCACATTTACATTACACTCGCGTCAAAAGCACTGAAAACTAACATTGATACGTTGCTGATAAGTGCAAACCAAGGCAAAAAGTGCATGTACATGTGAGCAGTAAAAACAAACAAAAAAAAATAAAATGACGATGATCGTCAATCAGACCGGAGCACCACTAAAATGAGCAGTGGATCGTCAGTCAGCCATTTACAAAACCCACCAGCACTTTTAAGCATGTGATACGATTCACTCCACTCCACCATTTGCACGAGCTTGTAGATAGATAACAGAGCATGTGCACTGCATGTGTGGCGAGTATTACTATTCGGTGGCATGTTTCCCTCATTGTTGCGAGGTCACTTGTTTTCTTTGTACAAGGTCGGCTCATTCTTACGGGGAAAATATTTCATGATATATTGGCAGCTTAGCTTTCGCAATATCATTTGTATCATCCCCCATGGCACCAGCTGTACCGGCTCTTGGTCACAATTTCACCATTAAAATTAGACACGAGGGTTCTACCGAGGACACCAATTCATGATTTGTTTGCTCGGATTATAAGTTCATACCACTTCTTAATAAGTAATGAGCTTCAAATGAAGGGGAAGCAAATGTCCACAATAAGAGGGCGTGGTGGGAAAAGCACGGGAAATAAGGTGCTGTAGCGGATGACACAAAACGGCATTTCATGACTGACGTCACAATGCAGGTGGCGCCATGATATGTCCTCTAGGCCACTAGCAGTGCTAAAGCTAGCTCCTGTGAAAGCAGCAGTGGGGCACTGTGAGTGCTGACATCTACTTCAACTACATGCTATTTACTTCCCATTAGTTCACACAGTGAATTATATATAAAGAAACAATTTCGTATTGCACTGCCGACTTCAAATCACATTCCCACTTCTGATGCCTGAGAAGCTCATGTGACAATGGCGCTCTAGATTTCTTAGCACACTGAATAGTGTGGTTAGCGGGCATACAGCAGTCGCACACAGCCCATTTGCAAATGTAGTTTGTAAGAAGTCCATGAGTAGGACTTTTCAGGCTGAAAGCAATTGCTCTGCCCTTCCCTTTCCCTCCATTGATCGCAGTATTAGGTGATAGAAATCAGGCAATTTTTCTAGCTGTTGTTGTCTGCATGGTGCAGTTTATTGATTGATTGATATGTGGGGTTTAACGTCCCAAAACCACCATATGATTATGAGAGACGCCGTAGTAGAGGACTCCAGAAATTCCGACCACCTGAGATTCTTTAACGTGCATTCAAATCTGAGTACACAGGCTTATAACATTTCTGCCTCCATATGAAGTCGCCACAGCCGGGACTCGATCCCGCAACCTGCGGGTCAGCAGCCGAGTACCTTAGCCACTGGACCACCGCGGCGGGGCGGCGTGGTGCAGTTTCTATGCATGCTAGCTTGTTATGGCATTATTTTAGTTTCTTGATGAAGACACACAATGAGCGCTACAATGCATGTAGTGCTAACCCACGAATGAAGAACCTCAAGCATTGCAACTGATTTTATTGTACGAAATATAAAACTACTGACATTTCAATTTGGCCACAGAAATTATTACTATGCAGAGTAGTACTAATGAAAAGAAGGCAGCACCTTGTTTGCAGGTTCATCCTTTTTAGCATCTTTGCTGCGTGGCTTGCTGTCCTCTTTCCGAGAGGCCTTTGTGTCGGCGCCTCGCTTGACAGTGCTGCTTCCACTACCCTTGCCACTAGACGAACTGCGATTGCTAGTTGTCCGCGACGTCTCTATTCTCCGGCTGCGACTCACTTGGCGGACAGACGGGCCAGGCCTGCACCACAGAAGATCGAGACAAAAAGCCTCTGGAAAGGAAGCTAGAAAGGTAGCACAGCTCTGTTAGCTGCTTGAGCAGAAGACTCGCTGACAATGAAAGCTTACCAAGAGGAAGGGCCACACTCAAAATGAGTACAGTATCAAGACGAATGAAAATGACGGCCTAAGCTGCACCTTCTAGGAGATGTGCACGCAGGCCTATCTATAAAACAGATGAACAAATGGGATACTGCTCCGTGCACTTTGATCAAGTTGTGAAGAAGATAAAACAAACTTTTCTTACGGGCAACTTAAATCTCTTTTTCATGACCCAATCACTCACTATGAGTTATCACATCTTGAAACCTTTTTACATATTGATGAATATAGTAACCATGGCAGCCTACTTATAATGACTAGAGGCCGAATTTTTAGGCACTACAAAAATGTGTTTTAGGCCCCCAAAAAAGGCAGGCAATAACATCGTTTTAGAGCTGTGCGCCGCTGGGCCACCGCCCATTTTTGCTCAAGCCGCTCGCGCCGCCGCGCAATAATTCTGGCGCGCCACCGTTTGTTTTATTTTAACTTCAGTGGAGAATCTTGGCACAAAATAAATCACTTCACCTTATTTTCTGTAGCTTTCAGCCTTTGGTGAGTGGCTTTTGAGGTGTCTTGCCTGCTCTGTTGTTTCAGTGTTTGCATGCTCTGTCTAATAAGCACACTATTACGGCTTTTGAAGATACACAATCAAGCGTGTTATTCTCTCTTAGTGTTTCTCGTTTTTTTTTTTAGCACTTTGTGACAACAAAAAATGATTTTTGTTATAATAAGCCACATACTCTCGAATGAATCGTATACGAGAAATTGCAGTTGTAAAATGTTTCTGCCCTGATTTGCCATGCATGTGCCCCCCCCCCCCCCCCTCTCTTTCTCGCGTCTCATGTGAATATCATGCGCGATAAACTTGTGATTTCACTGCATTTTGCCAGTTTCCGATTGCACAAGAGGAAATAACAGATAGTAGTCCACAAGCTCAAATTTCTGATTGGCTCAACGCTTAGCGCTCAGATTGCACACTTGCTTTATGAAGACATAATTTTGGAAGAAAGACAGCCTGTAAAAATTGTAGTGAATGCAGTGTAGTGGATGTAATGAATAACAAAATCAAAGGAAGAGGCTCGCAAATTATTTAATTTCCCAACAAATTTGTTACAGCGAAGAAGACGCAGCTCTCTATAAAAAGATCAGCACGCTTAGACGATTTTTGTAGATAATTTGATTGTGAGAATTATATAGACACTCTCTACAGGCTTTTTTCGTCACATTCATGTTTCGTGTAAAGAACAAATCAACAGCTTTTGTCCCCACACAGTATGCTAAACTTGCAGATGAAATCTCGTGATCGCTAACGAGGAACACTCCCGAAGCATAGGTGAAACAAGTTGCCCATCTCCACAGCACGGACGGCCCGGCCCGTGCGATAATATCACTTCGCGTGCAATGCCTGTCATCGATTGCTACTCAACTGGAAAGTCCGGTAGGAGGCTGTGCGGCTTGACCCGCAACTGTGAACTTTGAATATAGGGGCGTGGCCGCGAGTGTTCGCGCGCGATATTTCAGCAGGCATCAGCGAACGGTTTGTGTACCCTTCTACGCGCTGTGATATCACTGCACAAACACTGCTCTTTTTACGGAAGTGGCCATATTCCCATACACCAGTGTTTTGTAGTTTCACAAGATCAGAAAAGAAGAGCTGCAGCCTAAGGTCCCTATGGGGCTGCGTGCTCCTATCGCACGGTGTAAAATGCGAAGTCGTGAAGGGTTTTCTGACCATAAAACTATTGAAGTTGCCTCAGGCTTAGCGTGTTTTCCTCAAAGACCTGAGATTAAAACTGTTTTGATCTTTCTTAAAGTTGATGACAATTGCGTACTGGGTACTTTAGTCTCACATTTTGAAGAATTTGAATGTTTTAGCAAATTTAGCAATGTTGATGTGCTTATTCTTAAGTTTCGTAACATTGTGCATGAATGCCAATCAAACTGCAAGTCTCAAAGATATATTAAATGAAACCCAAAATATCCATATTGCCATAAAAATATACAGTCGAGCCCACATATAGCGGCCCCACTTAAAACAAACTTTCACTTAAAACGAACAATATGCGCACGACCGTGAAAATATACATTGGTTAAATGGCTCAAAATAGCACTTACAACCAACATCTCCTAGCGCCGCTGATCGGTTACAGCGAACGGAGTCGGCGGTCTGCCGACTTCCCAGGAAACCACTTTTGACCACCGATAAGGCACCGGCGAGGTGCCCATACATTCTTATTGTTAAACGCCGACCCTGCCTCCGCGACCCTCTAGTTGCCGCTCTCCCCGACCCATGGAGGAAGGAAAGCTGTTTCCTTCCTCCGTGCCCCGACTGCTTTTTGTTACGCACCCCTTTGTCCCCCTACAACTCTGAGCACACCGCATCGCCAGACGAGGCCCGTGTTTTCACACTGCCACCATTCTTTGGAAGACCAGTCGGCCATTTACCCTGTTTTTGATAGCTGGTACTGTCGTTGGCGTCGCCGGCCTGGAGTGACCAGACCATTTTCCAAGATTGTCGGCCACCGACTGTATCCAATAGTCTGCGTCTAGAGCACGCGCGTACGCAACCCCACCAACTCTGATAATTTGCGATTCGTTTCGTGTTTAAGACTTGTTCTTGCTCACTTCGCACTCCGCTCAGCATGCCTTCCACGCCCGTGCGGAAGCGCGAAAACGGCTGCTAATTTGCACCGAACAAATTGCGAAATATCGAAGTTCGTGAGGCCATGCAAACCCGCCGGTGCAACGAAACGATTTTTTGACCACGGCCGCTGATTCTTCGAACACTGTCGCACGCACCGATCCAGGCGGCCGCGCTTTGACTGCTGCCCGCGCAGGCACTTTTTCAAGTTTTCTACGCACCAGTTCCGTGGACCTTTCAAGCAAGCTATCAAACCAGCCTCCTTTCCCGTGTGCTCTGGTTTTCAAGGTCGCCCTCCCACCGCATCCTTCCCTCTCTATCGCAACTCGTTGCCCTTCTCTCGCAAATCTGTTCTCCTCTCTTAATCATAACTTCTTTGCCCATCTCAACCGCTCCGCAACACCAGCGTGGCGATGCCAGCCACGCTGGCTCGAATTAGTTTCGTTTTCCAACTAGAAACAGGCCCAGAGCTATTCCACGCGTTCTGGCATGCATGTCGGATGTGCGCGTCTTGCTCGCTTTTGGTGTCCGTGAGTGGTCAGGATGGCAGACGGGAGGACTTGCACGCTTTTTCTTGCTGCTCAACAAAACATCAAAAGTGTGACCGCTTGGCTTGAGTGTAATCCGCACGTTAGGTGCCGCTTTGCGGAGCACTTGCTCATAGCTGTTGACCACCTGGCAGCCAATTTGCCACTTCGGGCATTCCGGTATTCAGCTGTGGAGATGGTGAATATTTCGTGGGCGGCGGTGACGACCTCTGGCCCGATGCCGAACCTGAAGCTTCCGAACAGGATCACTCCGGTAGCTATTTGTGGCAGCACGTCGTGGACTCCGTCCGACCTGGGAGAGCGGGTGAGACATCTGTTGCGATGGTTTAATTACGACCGATGCTGAAGCTGACACTGTGGAACCGTGCACAAATTGGAGAATTGTGAATGAAGTACGTGGCGAGAACGATTTGGATGAATCGGATTGCGAGAACGACGAAACTTTGGAGCCAGGGCCTAATGCAGCTTATGCCACTCGTTTTGGCGAACGAGCACCCGGCGGTTTTAAATGAACTCGAGATCGCCCTTATCACTTCTGCTCTTCGAAACACGTGCATCACGGGCTTTATGGGGCAAAAAAATTTTGTGTTTTCACTCGCAAGGAGGTCGCTAGGGGGCCACGGTGTGCGGACGCGCGTCGCATCGGCTCCGCAGATTTTCTATGGTTTTCGGCGATTTCTTTCCAGCCATTCAGTTCAGAGTATTCCCAAGTGACTGCGAAAGTCCTGCGGTCTCTCCCGATACCATTTGTGCAGGTGAGCCCGTGTTTCGGTCACTTTTCGAAGATTGCCCATACTGCCACGCTGGCACGACAGTCAAGCCAGTAGACAAGGCACGGTAGGCCTGACAAGTCGTCGGAGCAAGCGGGTGCCCCATCCGCTGCGCCGGCGCTCGAAATGGAATTCGTGCAAGTCGAAAGGGAGGAGATATTGCCGACGGAGTTCGGAAAAGAGCAGGGATGGTGCAAGATCAAACGAAACACCAAGAAGTTGGGTGGAGACGCCGACCCGGCAAAGAACCAGCAAGCAACGCCAGCGTCTACCGAGAAGGCGGCGTTTATACAGAAAGCGACGCAGTACATGCAGAAGATCACCATGACGAGACGAGTGCCCAACCTGCCGTCGGATGACTACAAGATCATCGTGCGACCCCGGGATGGCTTCAACGTATCCCACTACCAGAAGGACCGTGTCCACTGCTGCATACGCAACGCTGCAGGGGTGGGGCGCGAGGTAGCCGAGGAGAACAGCGTCTGTCTCAATGAGCGACAAAAACGTTATTGTGGTAAGCACGCCGTCAGAAGATCGCGCTAGACGATAGGGAGGCATTTGCAAGCTGCGAATTGGCGACCGTGAGTTCGAAGCGAGTGCCTACAGAGCGGCTCCGGAGAACACGTCCAAAGACCTCATCAGGGGCATATCGCTAGACGAAAAGCCGGCGGCGGATGTCGTGAGAAGTCTGGTTAACCACCGCAACCCGAACGTCCTGCATGCCAAGCGCATGGGAAACACGACCAACGTGATAATCCTTTTCAACGGCTACTACATGCCTCGTTACGTGAACTACGGCGGGATGGTGATAAGGTGCACTCTTTACAAGAAACATATCGATATGTGCTACGAGTGTGGTCGTCTGGGACACAGGGCCGACGTGTGCCCCAACCCGAACGACAAGAAGTGCAGTGGGTGCGAATGCGGCAACCCGCCCGACGATCATCGGTGCGAGCCGGTG